ACCTGCCTGTCAGCCTTCCATCTGTGCGCAAACTTATCTCGTGCCCTCATTGGTCATGTGCGCGTTCGTGTGTGTTGGAGGAGGGGCTCTGTAAGGAAGTGGCAGATTTTTTCCGGCTGTGTATTTTCAAATTCTAGCGCACTCGAGCTGGTTTCTCCAAAATTACCTATCCCACCTTTAATGTTAAAGAGAAATTGAGGGTTTGAATATTGCATTAAGCGAGAGGGGTCTGCCTGCAGACCTCCACTCTCAGGACAGTTCCGGTGCAGACCTCCACTCTCAGGACAGGAAGTGACGATTCTGACGTGTGCTAGCTAATAGTGATGCTAATGATAACTAATTCCTAATAGTAGTATGTGTGTCGTTTGTACAGTGCTACTGATATGTTATGTAAAGCCTGCATACTTATATGTGCTTTATTTCTGTATTGTTACAGTTTTAAAAAGTAAAAGAAGAACAGTAAAGTCAAGAAAGAATTATTGGAGGACTTTTAAATGTTAGCTAACTGTCTAGCTACGCATAGGGATACGCGCTGTAAGGGCAGAACAGTTCAATCAATCTAACTGATGAAAAGTGATACTGTACTGATATTAACTACAATACAAGGTGTCCCTATATATATATATATACGGCGGAGGTGGGGAGGTTCCAGCTGGGAACCTCCACCCCGCTGCGGGACCCCTAGACGGTGTGTCTTGGTCACGCTTCATATCGGCCGGCCCGGGAAGGAAGAGACACGCAGAGTGGGGGAAGTCCCCCACCCCAACGCAGCACACCCTCCCGGCCATCAGAGTCGTTCCCACCAGAGCACCGGCACTATAGGCCGGGCCGGCGCGGAGGCCCTCCGACAGTGGGTCGCGTTTGCCATTCGTTCAGTGAGAGGAGAGGAGTAAAATGCAATGAAAATGGTCAAAATCCGTTAATATATGGATGAGTGGGGGGGTGCTGGACACAGGCCGTGGGGGGACACCCGAGACCGGGCAATGTCCCCGGTAGAAACCGGGTGAAATAGCCTAAAAAATAATAAAACCGGGGAAAATAGGGGGGAAAGTGAAAAAAAAGTGTCCGAAAATAGGCACTCGTGAGGCGGGCAGAGTCCCCTGTCAACTCCCGTTACATTCCTCCATGGTGTCATTTGAGCGAAAAACTTTTACGAGAACCAGGCTGGGGGGGTCAACCTGAAAAATTCCATCAAACGAGTCCTTCGGTGGGCGGGAAAAAAAACGCGTCAGAATCGTCACTTCCTGTACTGACAGTGGAGGTGTCCTGAGAGTGCAGCCTGCACCGGAACTGTCCTGAGAGTGGAGGTCTGCAGGCAGGCTCCCATGCATTAAGCTGCATCTAGTACTCCATTTGTTTCATTTAGAAAAAATCAGAAGTGCCAACAAATAATGAACAATTATTTTATAGCTTAATTGTTTTGTCAGTGCTGCATTTGCAATGCTTTGAATGCTGATTTGTGGCAGCGTGCCTTTGTGCTGCGCTCGTTTGTTCTGCTTTTAATCCGTCTTGAATCAATGATTTTAAAGTGTTCTTGCTTTTTTTCTCCTGACAGGGTGAATCTTGGGACTTGTTAACTATTATCTAGCATCTGACCTTGAAATAAGTTTGACAGATGGTCACAGATTCACATTGACACTGTCCATGGAGGAACAGTCATTATTATTGACCGGCTACACCAACGTGTAAATCTGGAAATAAACTTTCATGAGGGCTTGCCTTTCCTAACAGCAGCTCAATATGTTTGAGTCTCAAACTCATCATACTCCTAACCATTAAACACCCAATAGCCCTGGATCTATGACACAAAAAGCCGTAATTAATTTATAGCCCTGCTTTTCACTGCATGTGCTGATCGGCTGGCCCCAGGGTGATCCACGTAAATGACTACAGGATTTTCAGTGTATTGACTGTGTTGTAATGACAGTGCTTAGAGCAGATGAGGGGCCGGCTGTGCTGTGAATGGGGGGGAGGAGAGATCGGACACACTGACACTCGGTAAAGGCCGGGAATCCAGCAGCTTCAATTTGACAGGCCTGATTTGATTTGGTGTGTGCAAGGCATAGGTCTCCACAAAACCACTCTGGGATGCAATTCACAGCGTCTGAAAAGCCTTTGTTAAATCTCCTCAGCTTTACAGGACATCCTTGGGAATTTAAGTCCTTTAAAACGTTGCCTGTATCATCAATTGTACCCTAAAACTTGGGGAGTAAAATATGTCTAAAATGTGTCTTAAAAGGGCCGGGTTGCATTCCAATAGTCCATTTAGCTTAGGAACCTTCCTAACGGAGTGAAATGACCCGGAAGTACGTCACTGGCCGCCATGATAAGTGCCGTTCCAATTCTCCAAATGAAAGGAAAGGAGGTTTCAAACTTCCTTTATAACCTCCTTTAGCTTAGGAACCACTGGACCTCCCTAACCGAAAGGAGAGGAGGAAATGCCGCCCCACAATGCATTGCAGCCGCAGCATTTGCCATCACAACAGTCGGCCGTTCACGGAAACAACCGATTATGACCGAGAAATTATATCATGAAAGTTACGGTGCTTATTAAGCATTTTAAAACGTATGTGGTAAGTTGTCAAAGTGCTTTTTTCTGAACGTTCATCAGTATTATAATCAGAAAGAGAAATATGAACGTTAGTTTTTACTGAAATTATCAAATAAAGTCAACATCTCACAGTCTTTACTGAGCTGTGTGGGGTTTGTTCAACTTTTAAAAGATGTTTGAATGGTGATATACACAGTGATAGATGTTAAGGACTAACGTTTATAATAAATACATTTGTATTGATTTTAAGATATTTTCATACAATCATACGTATTGGGATCATTTGTGTTAATGTGGACCGGAGGGAGAGGGTGACGAGCATAAGTTTCACTTTCCTTTTTTATTTCAATTCCAACTTTGGTCATGAGGAATATGTTACTCTGTTGTCCACGTTCATAAAGCAAAGCAACAGCATCAGAGCACGGTGCAGAGTCTCTAGATGAGTTTACAGTAGTCCCTCGTTCTTATTATACATCCATGTTGTAGTCCGCTGTATAGAAAACTAGTTTCCATAGTTTCCCCACAGCAGCAGACGTACATTCATGACGTCCGCTGGCGCATCATAAACACGTCGGATAGTGAAAGTGCATTCGGATTCTCTAAAGTACCGCGGTCTCTTCTCCTAAGTCCTTTTGAATTCTCCTATCCACTATCCCTTAACCCTGTGACGTTTCACTCAGAGGTCAAGGAATAGGAGATAGGGTTAGAATTTAGGAGCTGATTTTTGGATTATCGGAACGCAATCCTGGTTTGGCTTTGTTCTTTTTTTACAAAGAAGGTTATAGAGGTAGATATTTCTGAGTTTTAGACACAACACTTCTCCTGGTTTTATTTCCAGGTGAAATACACCCTTAACGAACTACGCTGCCTATCATAAATATTGTGATGCTGTCCTGCTGAAAGCCTCAGAGAAGCTTGTGGATAGTAGATCGAAGAGAGTAGAGACCAACGTGTGAGGAACAGCATGTTTTCTGTGAGAGGGGCCTGTGGGGTGTTCTTCTCTGCCTAGCTCTCACTTGATTGTGAGCCAACACCAGTACTTTAGCCAAAAAGCTCCCTCAGTCCCGTATCTCAAGTAGCTGAATGGTATTTGCAGCAGTGTTGTTGCTCAGGTGCCTCTCCAATCTGTTTGCATGTAAGCAATAAGATATCACAGCTTCCTGTGCATTTAGATTGATTTCCTGGCTCCCATACGAGCATAAATGAAGAGGTTTTTATTTGGTGTATAGTAAGTAAAATCGATCAACTTTCACTTCTGATGATTCCAGCAGGCACGCACATCTGCATGCAATACATGTCCTCTATTTCTTTTCTATTTGTCCAAGGAAATCCCTTTCAAGATTGCTATCTCATTTAAACACACCTTTTCATTGCCAGCCAACAGTGAAGCCCCAGTACTCACTGAGAGCTACATTTGCAATATACCTCCCTGATTCATGCCTCATACTTATTTTAACATCATTTGTACTCCATGCCTTATTGCTTTATCGTTTCAAGTCTTTCTCTTACAAAATGATGTTCCCATACAACTAAACTGCATTCTCGATAATGTCAGGGAAATGTATTTTCTCGTTGCTTTTTCAAACACGTAGTTAATATATAATTCAAAGAAATCTAAATGCAACATAATTAATTGGTTAGGGTTGTGTTTAAACAACTAAATTACTTGGTTAGGCTTTGTGAAAGATCGTTCTTTGGCCTAAAATAAGTATGTACTGTATGTTATAAAATGATCATCTTTAGCACATATTCATATTTCTTCTCTATTTCAATTTAAAATGGCACTAAGTGACAAGCCAACAACCTGTTGATCCTATTGAGGCACAGCCATCATTTCATTGCAGGTGTTACAACTAATATAATAGAAAATAATATAATTTAATATTAAAGGTCTCCTGTTATGCTATTTTTAGGCATCTATTATGGGTCTCAGATATATAAAAATATATAAAAAACATGTCTCTGATGTGTTTTGCTCAAAATACCAAACAGATCATGTATTTTAGACATCCATCATATCCCTCTGTTTCAGCCCTGTTAGAGTAGCCTACTGCAGGTTCGGGGTCCTTAGCTTGAAAAAGCTAATGCCTGCTCAGAATTACCCGGCAGATTCAGCTTAACCCACATGGAAGGAATATATATGAACCTATACATTTTTAATATATGTCACATATATGTTTAACATATATGTGACATATCTGAAATTGGACCCCTACATATATGTCTCTGAACATATATGTACATATATATCCATATATGCACACACATAAATGTACATATATGGGTGCAGTGTATATGCACATATAGGTTGCACATATATGCACATATAGGTTTAACATATATGCGCATATAAGTTTAGCCTATATGTGCATATATGTTTATTTACACCTATGTTCAAGCCATCAATACATAGCCTACCTACATAAAAAAATACAACACACAAAATGTATAAGTCATTAACATACATTTATTGTCAATAAATGTCAATTATTTTTGTCTGCTTTTGGCGAGCCCTGAGCTCTGTCAGCTTGTTGTTGATGGCTGTACCCAGCTGGCCCTTCGTTGTGTGTGGCCACTTCTTCATTGTTGCCTCTACAGAGAAAAGAAAAGGACATAATGAGATGACAGTGTAAAAATGCTCCAAGTCTTCTACAGACTCCAAGCATTCCACTCCAAAGTTTTGCCAAACCACCTGGTGTAGTGTACACGAGCTCCCCTGTGAGTTTATTGGCAGATAAAGCCCAAAGCCTTTATTCAAACAGATGATCTATTTTATTAGTGATTTGTTTCATATATCATTACTATTATTTTTGAATTATCTGAAAAGTCAGTGCATTTACCAAATCTGTCTAAGAAGCTGCTAAGTTTACAATTATTAGTTAGAATTAGGTAAAATTTGGCTTTTCAAAAATACTGTTTAAAAAAAAAAATGACATCACATGAACTTCACTTGTATACAAACAACAGAGATCATCAGCACAGGTTGTTTACCAGAAGAGCAATAAGATATGCATTGCAATCAAGAAAATTAATTGAAGACATGATATGGCACAAACACAGTACAAAGGGCATGGCCAGACATTTCAATGATTTGTAAGGCATAGTTAGGTCTGGAAATGACATAAGGGCATAACACCGGAGCCCTGCTGCGGGGAAACTTTGGCGCTGTTCTGAGTTTGTTCTACTCCGTCAAAATGACGGACTGCTTTCACATTTTTCCGTCATTGTCAAAAGAATTCCGTCATAGACGGAATATATTCGGTTAACGCGACCTCTGGTCCTCACTTACCTGATGCTGATCCTGATCCTACCATTGATAGCTAATAAATAGTGAAACAGGGATGGTTAAAGTAGTCAACTTGAGGCATCTCTATTAACTTTTAAACTAAATTCATTCGTTTTTACTCACCGATTATAGCCGCCTTTTTTCCTGGGTCCAGGGCTTCCAGCTGCTCCCCATCACCTCGCTTTGGCTTGCCACCTAAAGTAATATTTCATAATTATTATTTTGCAAATGAAAAGTGGGTAATCCTGCTGATCTACAGCAGCTAATGTTTACATACTAATGGCCCACACTTTATGCCCCGGTCACACACGAGGACAAAAACGGCCGTTTGCGTTACTGTTTAGTGTCATATAGACCATTCGGCCACACGAGGATGACCGCATATGGCACTAAGCGACTGAGGAAACGATAACGGGTCCCAAGGTGGATAGAACGGCATACGCAACGCTCTGGGGGGTCAAACAGCTCCGTGTGTGCGCCCTATACGATCATTTTCTGATAATGATTGCGCAATAGCCCCACCTCTCCCCACCTCTGCTGCTCACCTCCGCGTACCCCGCGCCATTGCTGATGTGTTTCGCCACCAACAACAACAACAATGGCGGATCGCAGAGTTGCTATCGTGCTCCGGACGCTACTGACCATGCCACAGTTCTTTGTGCAACATCTACAGCAGACTTACACATCCGGGGGGGATCTTACTCGCTGCTTTTGTGGATATGTACTGCAGCTTCAGCGATCATTTTCTGATAATGATTGCGCAATAGCCCCGCCTCTCCCCACCTCTGCTGCTCACCCCCGCGTCAAAGTAAACTGCACACTGAATTCAGATTATTTATCTTTCTCTCGATATGGACATAAACACGAGTGAAGTCTAATCTGACAGGACGGAGACACCTCTCAAACTACCTAAACTAGTTATAAATATGTTTATTTTTACTGTCGGCCGGGTCACTCATTACTGGATCAGCTGCTACATGAAACAGACACTGGCGCTGTCCAAAGAGAGGGAGGAAAAAGAGAGGCTCCATGTATTTTATTATTATATTATATAGATTGGTTATTCATTTGTTTTAAAGCTCAATAAATACCAAAGAAGACCTTTGACCGGCACTTTTATAATTTTGTCGGAAGATTTAAACTTTAATACACGTTGACTGGCGAAAAACTCTGCCCGGTTCCCTCGGCCCCCACCGCGGAGAATAAACAGAAGGGCAACCATGACAACCATGCTTCTTCGCTGCTTTTGTGGAGGAAGTTACAGCGCCACGTACAGGCTCCTGCATATGTACTACAGCTTCTCCAGCGGTTGGAGCTAAACGGAGCGGTCTCGTGTGGGCAGACACTATCCGGATAACTATTGCGTGTGGACGGAAGCTTGTTTGCGTTTGCGTTAATCCTATGCATTTAGCCGTTTTCGTCCTCGTGTGGCCGGGGTCTTAGGCTAGAGTGGTTGTCCAGGGACAAATGACACTCAAGGTTCCTTGGGGGTGTTCCAAATAGACCCATACACATTTGGTTTCCAATCATACACTCTGAGTTATGGGGGTCCTTGAAATGATAAAGTTTGAGAACCACTGGGCTAGAGTGTGGGACAATTGTAAAAAAAACATTACTCGCAACAAATTGCAGCAGCGAAAACAGAGTAAGAAAATAGTTCAGTTTTTCCATTCTTAGGTGAATCAGTTTAGAAAGAAAAACACATGTGTAAACTGCCTTTCTTTATTAATGACAGGATTGATTTAAAGAGATTTTGAACAGTCGCTTTTTTTTTTTTTACCGTTGAGGTTACTCTGAAGCAGGGTTTCAAGGGGAAATGTGCCGAGGAGGAGAGTTCGCACCATTGCTGTGCCAGAGGTGGTATCAGGGGCGGACTGGCCATCTGTAGAATCTGGAAAACCACAGAACGGCCGGTGGACAAGGGCCGTTGACGGCCGGCCCTTTAATTTTTTTTGTTTAACGTCATAATTTAAGTTGCGCTTCCGGCCGACAGAGGGCGACAGCGGCCGCTAATGCAGTTGTGTGTTTCTTATCTGTCCAAAAAATCACACACGAAGAAGAAAAAAGACCGGCCACACAGACGCCGCGGCAGACAGGGAGAATGACAAAAAATGGTTACAAATAAAAGAAAAAGAAAAGAAAAAGGTGGGGCCGAGAAGGCAAGAGAAAAAAAGGTGAAGTCACTCGCAGGTAATGCTAATAAATGTCGCAAATTGACAGACCTTTTTGTCAGCAGCGCCGCTGCTACAACTACAAGCACTATCATCACCAGCAGCAGCTTAGAACAAGTGCATGATGAAGAGAATGATGAGGGCGCGATTTCATATATACAGCCAGCCTCCTGCGTTCATGAGGGACAGAGAGTTGAGCTGGTGGAAGAACCAGCTCAACTGGCACATGCATGTGCAGGGCAAGAGCAAGAGGTGGTAAGTACTATAGAGAAGACAAGTATATTCAACCTAGTGTTTCCAGTTAGTGTGTGGTGTGTTGCTCATGCAAGCAATAAAATAAATACAACTGAGAGTAGGTGTAATAGACTATATTAAAAAAAAGTATAGATTAAACAAAAGTGTATTACTTGTCAACATTTAAGTATTAATTCAAGTAGTAGCCTATAGTATTATAAAAATAATTAACATTATTTTTATCATTAATTTATAATTGTCTATAGGTTGAGGATGGAACAAGGACTGAGGATGACAGCCACTCACACGGCAGCTCAAACCTGAGGTATTTCCAACGCCCAAATTCCGACAATCACAGTCTCAATAGTTTTTTTTCCTATCACCCTCAGACCAAAACAAAATATTTGACAGTACAAAGACTGTTTAAACGCATGAACGGCACAGATAGAAAATAGCTCACATACTGTGAAGAGAACCACACATTGTATTGTGGAGTATGTTTAGCATTTGCCAAGCCATCTGAAAACAATCCCTTTGTAAGTGGCATGCAGGACTGGAACCATATCAGTCAGAGAGTAGAGGAACACGAAAGGACCATCATGCATAGAATGTGTGCGGAGGCCTACTTTTTGAGGGCATCCAAATCAGACATAGCCAGCCTACTACATGGATCACAAGTAGTGGCCCACAGAGATCAAGTGAAGAAGAAACGGCAGGTGTTGGAACGTGTGGTAGATGTAGTAAAGTTCATAGGAAAGAGAGGACTTGGCTACAGAGGGAAGGAATATGAGGCAGCATACACTCTAGTCTAGATGATGACAACATTGACCATGGGAATTTTCTAGAGCTCATCATTCTTCTTGGAAAATATGATGTGTGTCTGAAAGAACATATCACTGAGTGCACAGAAAAAAGTAAGAAGATGCACCAGTCACACTCACAGGCTAAAGGTCGGGGTTCTGCTGTAACATTCCTATCCAAAACAACTGTAAACAACGTCATTTCCACAGTGCAGAGGCTAATTCAGGAGACCATTGCAAAAGAGGTTGCTGAAAGCGGTATGTTTTCTGTACAAATAGATACAACCCAGGACATTACGTCCCATGAGCAGTGTTCTGTGATTCTGAGATACGTCACAGACACTGTCCAGGAAAGGCTTCTTGCAGTGGTCAAATGTGAAGCATCCACTGGCCAATATTTTGTCCAGATGCTGACAGATGTAATGGATCGTTTTGATTTGGATATCAGCAACTGCATCAGTAATGCTACAGATGGTGCATCCAACATGCAGGGTCAATATCGAGGCTTCTCCGCACTCCTGTCATCCAAAGTCCCAAACCATGTACATGTTTGGTGCTATGCACATGTGCTAAACCTCGTTCTGTCTGATACAACTGAAGTGTCCATAGCTAGTGGGTCCCTTTTCTCCCTCATGAATGACATTGCTGTGTTCATTCGCGAGTCATACAAAAGAATGAATGTGTGGGAGCATAAAAGCCAGGACACTCGACACAGACGCCTCTCCCCAATTGGAGAGACACGGTGGTGGGCTAAAGATGTAGCCTTGAAGAAGATCTTTGGCTCATTTGGAAAGCCAGACCAGTCTCTGTACATTGATGTCTTCATGACACTAAGTGAATTTCAAAGTCAGGCCAATTTGAAAACTGCAGTGCGTGTCAGAGCAAGAGGATTCCTAGAGGCGCTCCTGAGGTACGAGACAGTGTTGACTGCCCAGCTTTTCCTTCGGATTTTTGAAGTGACAACACCTCTTTCAAAATACTTGCAGACATGTGGACTAGATTTCCTCTCTGCTCACAGGATGGTTCAGGACACTCAACATGCACTGATGAACATGACAAGAGATTTCATGACAGTGAAGACAGCTGCTGATACTTTTGTTGAGTGGGCAAATGCAAAACTGGAGGCAGAAGAGGACTGTGAGCTTGAGTTGGAAACAACACTTCCACTGAAGAGGAACAGGAAAAGGAAGATGATGGCTGGCGAAATGGCAAGTGATGAGAGATTGACAGATGCAAACAGGGCTTATGAAGTAGAGGTCCATAACCAGGTCCTGGATACTGTCACAGACAGTATCAAACGACGCTTCATGACCCACGGCACTCTGTATGCTGACTTGGCTGTTCTTGATCCAAGAAACTTTCCCCAGGTGTGTTCAGCAGAAGCTCTGCCTGACTCTACATTTCAAGATCTAAGCAAATGCTTGCTTAGGTTTGACAGCAGGGCAACTGCTGCAAATTTGCAGTCTGAGTTGAAGTGTCTGGCAGCCCAGTGGCCACGGCTTAAAATGTCTGCACTTGAAGAGTACAGAGTACGAATTTGCTCTGGTTGTGAGGAAGAAGAGACAGAGGTTTTAAACAAACAGTGCAACTCTTGTAAAGAATGCTCAATATGTTGCTACCAACTTCTGAAACGCTACAACCTCTTCACAGATGCCTATCAGCTCCTTGGTTTAGGATACAAGTTTCTTCTCACTCTGCCTGTGACACAGGTAGCTTGTGAGAGAAGTTTCTCTGTACTCAAGCACATCAAAAGCCGAATAAGGAGCACACAGTCACAAGAACACCTGGAAGCATTCATGCTTATGTCAACAGAAAAAGACATCCTCATGTCCCTCGACAATGACTTGGTCATCGACAGAGTTGCAGAAAAAAGCAACTTACTAAAGAAACTGCTGATTCCCCAACATTAGGTTTACAAACCGCCTCAGACAATCTTGTTTATTTCTTTTAGGTGAGAATTATCCCTTAAACTGCAGCCTAATAAACAGCTGATTTGTGTGTGTGTGTGTACTGTTATATGATGTCCCATGTGTTAAGACATCTGAGGAGTGTCCTCCCTATTCTCTTTAGGGGAGAATTATCCGTTGAACCGCATAATAAACAGCTGATTTATAATAACTAATAGTACTGTATTATTTTATCTGATCTCTGTCCTCCACTTGTTAACTGTATTAATGGCACCTGTTTGAACTCGTTATCAGTATAAAAGACACCTGTCCACAACCTCAAACAGTCACACTCCAAACTCCACTATGGCCAAGACCAAAGAGCTGTCAAAGGACACCAGAAACAAAATTGTAGACCTGCACCAGGCTGGGAAGACTGAATCTGCAATAGGTAAGCAGCTTGGTGTGAAGAAATCAACTGTGGGAGCAATTATTAGAAAATGGAAGACATACAAGACCACTGATAATCTCCCTCGATCTGGGGCTCCACGCAAGATCTCACCCCGTGGGGTCAAAATGATCACAAGAACGGTGAGCAAAAATCCCAGAACCACACGGGGGGACCTAGTCAATGACCTGCAGAGAGCTGGGACCAAAGTAACAAAGGCTACCATCAGTAACATACTACGCCACCAGGGACTCAAATCCTGCAGTGCCAGACGTGTCCCCCTGCTTAAGCCAGTACATGTCCAGGCCCGTCTGAAGTTTGCTAGAGAGCATTTAGATGATCCAGAAGAGGATTGGGAGAATGTCATATGGTCAGATGAAACCAAAATAGAACTTTTTGGTTAAAACTCAACTAGACGTGTTTGGAGGAGAAAGAATGCTGAGTTGCATCCAAAGAACACCATACCTACTGTGAAACATGGGGGTGGAAACATCATGCTTTGGGGCTGTTTTTCTGCAAACCAGGATGACTGATCCGTGTAAAGGAAAGAATGAATGGGGCCATGTATCGTGAGATTTTGAGTGACAATCTCCTTCCATCAGCAAGGGCATTGAAGATGAAACGTGGCTGGGTCTTTCAGCATGACAATGATCCCAAACACACCGCCCGGGCAACGAAGGAGTGGCTTCGTAAGAAGCATTTCAAGGTCCTGGAGTGGCCTAGCCAGTCTCCAGATCTCAACCCCATAGAAAATCTTTGGAGGGAGTTGAAAGTCCGTGTTGCCCAGCGACAGCCCCAAAACATCACTGCTCTAGAGGAGATCTGCATGGAGGAATGGGCCAAAATACCAGCAACAGTGTGTGAAAACCTTGTGAAGACTTACAGAAAACGTTTGACCTCTGTCATTGCCAACAAAGGGTATATAACAAAGTATTGAGATGAACTTTTGTTATTGACCAAATACTTATTTTCCACCATAATTTGCAAATAAATTCTTTAAAAATCAGACAATGTGATTTTCTGGATTTTTTTTCTCATTTTGTCTCTCATAGTTGAGGTATACCTAGGATGAAAATTACAGGCCTCTCTCATCTTTTTAAGTGGGATAACTTGCACAAATGGTGGCTGACTAAATAATTGTTTGCCCCACTGTAAATGTATTAGTAGGCCTACAACTTTCACAAATATATTTTATGGAATATCACAATTGATTATTAATTAACATTATACAAACTAACATAGTTTGTATAGATCAGTAGTAAATAGTTGTCTACTGCACAAGAATGATAAAGGCACTAAAGTAACAAATCACTGTCCTAAACTTGATCTAACATGGGCACGCACGGTAATACATCAGTTTTGCAGTTACCCATCAAAAAAATAACCACTGTCCAGATAACATTTTCATGTAACCTATACCTTAAGAATATGCATCTACTTACTGTCTCTGGGGCTTCTGTTATCTGGCGCTTCGGTTCTCTCTCCATGGATCTGGAAATTAAACAGTGACATGGCAAAATATATACGGTTAACTTTTACAGTGGTAATAACTGGGAAATATGGACACAAATAACCCTATATACGTTGTTTTATGTCAAATAGCAAAAATATCCAATCTATATGTTTTCCCGCCTCCCGCCTTGAGAGCTTATAGATACATTTTTGACTTGTTACTTACTTTGTTGTTATTTCCACCATCACCACCACCATCATCATCGTCATCACCAGGCTGCTTCTTCTGAGGCTCTGCAGCTGCCACAGTATTTTGAGGCTTTTTACAAGAGAAGCAAGATGAATTAAAGGGGGATGAAACTTATTTTGTAGTTAGCTTTCTATGACATATTAATTTGTCCAAGGTTTTTGTCCATTGATTTGATTTCCATTATGATATAATACACATTCGTTCTTGGCCTGTTGGCAATGAACAATTTGGCACTGATGAGATTAGCCCTGGACAAACACACATTTGTAGACTATTGCCTCCTACAGAGTCACACCATAAAATATGCATCCTTAGAACAAGAAAAATGTTACTCACCTGCAATTGTTTTGAGGTTGCTGCACACTTGTTAGAGAAGGAAGACAGTATGTTATAATTTTTGAACAATTAAAAATACAAACAGCAGGTGAATTGCCCTAATCAGCCTAATATCATAAAAATCTCCTCCTCTGATTAAGTAACAAGTAAAATAAAGTGATACAAATAAGAGGAACTTACTCTTCCAGCAAGCGAGGCAATGTCCTCCTTCATTTGAGGAATATCTAGTGTGGGGTTGTACAGAAGGGAAAAAATAAAATCACACCAATTACAATCATCAGATCACCATAGCTGCAAGCAACTTGGATGCTATTTGCATCTAATGCGGCTTTCACACCAGCGCTTTTCCATTTCTAGCTCCGAGCGGGAGCTTTTCTGGTTCAGCTCCGGTTGCCCTTTTCTGCTCCCGCTCTGTTCACACCGCCCAGAGCTGCCGCTGCTGCATCATGACGTCACCGTTTACGTGCCTGCTTCATAAAATCCAAACCGCGCGGAATTCCCTCACATCGACAACAACAACAATGGCCGATTGTATTGAAGCGCTGTTCGCTTTGGTTATCCTCTTACGAAACGAAATGGAAGGCATCGGACGACTTTACAAGGGATGACTTTACTTGGAACTTTACAAACATCACATGCGAAATGCAAGACTTCTTTGTGGTCTTCAGCATCTACTTCAACGAGATGCCCCTGCCCCCGCCTCGACGTAAGAGAGACGTAAGCGACGCCACCTCTTAGCTCCGAAGCTCTTGCCTCTAGAGTCTAGACCGACAATTTTTTGGAGCTGGAAGTGAACCGGATTCCGGAGCAAAGAGGCGGCGCCTCTGCGGTGTGAACAGGAAAAACCGGTACTTTTCAGGCTCCAGCTCCGAGCCGGAGCTGAAAACGCGTTGGTGTGAAAGGGGCATCAGTTGTAACACGGTCCATTGACAGCACATTTACAAAACAGAAAAGTCCTATCCGATTGTATTAAACCAATATTGCAATACAATAATACTTACGCTTTATTATGAGGTCTTTCAAATGATCATTTTCATTTTTCAGGGCCAAGTTTGCATCCCTCAACTCCTGAATTGTTGTCTGGAATTGCTGCATTTTTTTCTTCTCCCATATTGAAGTGTCTTGCTCCCTCTGCATCTCACTTGCAGCCACACACACACACACACACACACACACACACACACACACACACACACACACACACACACACACACACACACACACACACAACACACACACACACACACACACACACACACACACACACACACACACACAAAAGTTGATTGTTTACCTTAAACAGTTACTGTTATGCAGCTAAATCTAAACTTACCTTTACAACACGCAATGGATGCAGTCAGTTACCTTTTTCTTGGAAATAGGTCTCTCCTCTTCGTCCAGATGAGCCCTCTTCTTAGCAGGACCCTTCTCCTCCTCCTCTTCATCACTGTCGACGTATCGCCAATTGGGCTTGGTAACCCGTTTAGTAGTGTCAGCCTCGTCATTGGTCTCCATCTCACAGAGTACTCTTTTCAGACTCTTCTCCCATTCTGGTGCAGATACATCAACATTAACGTGACACAGTAGCAAACACTGTACTGCTATTTTCTGTTATGGTTGCTCGCGCCGAAAAGCGTAGCTGGCTCAACATATAGTCTACAGCAGGGGTCTTCAACAGGGGGTCCGGGACCCCTAGGGGGTCCCCAGAGTTACTACAGATCTGCTATTTTTGGCAGAGGTTTGGTGTAGAGGGGGGGAAAAATACTAAATATTGATGGCTCAAGTGGTTAAATGTCTGAAAATACACATTAGTGGAACATACACTGATGATAGTGCTGTCAAAGTCTATGAAGTTATTTAAGAAATCTATGAAAATGTTTAATTTACAACACAATTGTATACAATATGTAGTGGGTGTCCCTGCTTCTCTCTCTCAGCCAAGGGGTCCTTGGTCTGAAAACGTTGCCTGGTTTACAGGCTTTTGTTCATTTAATTAGTTACTAAAGCTAAATAAATATGGATAGTGTGTACATACTTGCAACCTTGATGATCCTGGCTTGATACACCGGCCACTGTCTATTAGCTCCCTTGCGTCCATGGTGCCATTCCACCAAAAACTCCTCAGGAGTTGCCATTCAAGTAATTCTCTTCATGAAAATCTCAAACACAGTCAATCGGCAGAATGCTCCTAAGTCCCTTGTCACTACCTTCTGTCCACTCCACCAAGGCAAACGTGCACATGGTGATATTAATGTAATTTAATTTGTATGTTTGTTCTGTCTGTTGTGTTTTCCTGTATCCGCGAGCGGTTGGAATAAACGGGATGACGTCATGAATGCGCGCTCGTTGTGAGTGGCGCTTTTCTATGACGTCACATTCTGCAGCGAATGTCTCTATTATTCTCTAATAATATAAAAAAACGTGAACAATTAAAGGTAACATTTAGTGAAAACTTGTGGTTCAGATGATGTGTTTTATTAATTATTAATCACACAATAATGTACAATTATCAAATATTTAATAATTTACTAATCTTAAACTGATCAGCTGACGTCGAGCGGACATCCGGTTCCGGTCCTGGGTGAAATAACTAAACTAAAAATGTTGCTTCATACAATAAAACATACCGTAATCAAACAATATTGTCTTATACATTGAATTGTCTTGGGCAATCCGCAAACCTCAATCTGCATTGAATGGAAATAAGTACAATGATTAATTCATGTAGTTATATAGAATTTTGGAATAATATGCACATTACCACATTACCTTGCAAATACCTATATGTAGGCATTCAGTATGACATATATGCAAAAAGACAGATATATGAGCTATATACTGTATGAGGCATTATGTAGGAGATATATGCAAATATATGAACCTGACTTTGGCATATATGTGGAAATATATGAGCTATATATGACACATATATCTCCTATTAATCCACATATATGCACATATGAACCTGAATATGGCATATATGCAGCATATATTCTGCATATATTTGCCATATATTGGCATATATGTTCGTATACTTTCTTTCCGTGTGGGAATGCTCTCGTGATTAAATGCCATTATGTTCCGAACCACATCAAGGATTATTTCTGAAACAGCATGGAGCTCAAATGCTTTTTCTCTTGCCGGTTTACCACAAGGTGAGTTCCTTTTTTTATTTCCTGCTTTTTTTACACATACTCTCTCCAGTACAGGTTAGCAATGCTGGCTAATGTAAACAAAGACCATATTACGTCAGGCATTATTTCTGATAGCAACGTTTCTGATAGGGCCGTGGGTCTGCATTTCCGATATTACGTCATATCGGACGCAAATCTGGATCAGCTCCGTTGTACCCCCCGTTTTTAGAGATTTGGGTACATTACATTACATGTTACTTAGACACTTTTATCCCCACAGGAGCAATTTGGGGTGAAGTGTCTTGCCCAGGGACACAACGACATGCTGACTGCAGTGGGGTTTGAACCTGTGCTCCCCTGATCCCAACACCAAGGCTCTATCCACTGCGCCACACGCCTCCCTACGGGTACGGAGGAAAAGAGAGAGGGTTGTGTTTTCTGACACTTTGTGAGTTCCCTAACACACCGGGGACACATATTTATGTATAGAAGACATCAAAAAGAGCATTTATAGGTCCCCTTTTAAGTGTTAATATTAACTGAATGAAAAGTCCTCCTGCATGCTCAAATAATGGCCACTTAAAGTGGAAGCAACTAGTCATGGCCACACATTTGTGCCTGTGTGAGTAGCTCCTGTGGGTTTTTATTAAGATGTGTGAAATTATACAACATAACAACACCAGAGGAAGAAGGGGAGGATGTATTTTCTGACTTTGATCTGTGGCATGTCGTTATGAGAAAATTAGCCGTTTGATTCTTATCCTCTACGGATATACTGCAGTATAATAATGGGATGTATACAAGCAGCAACTGTTGTCTGTAGTAACCTTTCCAGGAAAACAGAGCACACAGGAGTTGCCTTTAATTGTTTCTTGATATATAACGTTTGCTTCATTGACCTTACTGTTTCCTGAGAAACGTAAACGAGAGTATGAAGAGACATGGAAATGCCTTATCTCCTCCAGAATTTTTATTTAGGGTTTTAAAAAAAAAAGTGAAGCCCAAAAAGTCAAACTCAAATTCAAACTGTCTTTTTATGTCATAAAAAATGACCATGCTGTCTAATTGATAAGTGATCTGGGGCAACCAAAAACACCACATTCAAGTCTAATTCATCGGTTTTGAATTCTCAAGTTGTGGTCTTTTGGCCAATGCCCTCTTGTTTTTTTGGAACCACAAGTGACACAAAAGTGCGGAGCCAAGTACAACCTAATGTTGACCAAAACCTTTTCAGGAAACCAAATGTTACAATTACTTTGCCCGAAAATACACTGTGAAGGGATTTAAGTTCTATAACTGCTGAATCACATGGACGACACACCCTGAAGCTCACGCTGCTTTATCATCTATTTTTCTCCTGTGTGACCTTAATTTACATAATGGACATCATGCTGTATTGAACAAGACTTGAAACAAGCGATTGAGACCATAAACTTTTTCAGAAAATGTTAACTGAGGTAATTAACAAATGTAGGTTCATGTTGTCATAGACTTCTATATAATCAGACAATATTTCAATGCATTTCCGCATTTGATTCACGTATTAGAACCAAAAATTGCGCGTTGATATCAACATTAGGAGAAGACGAATTGATCTGAAGCTCTACTGGTTTCCGATTATTTATCCAACATTTTTAAGTTGCCTAAACATCCCCAGACCTTTATCACAGGAGATCATCAAAACGCTCATATGGCTTTTTTCGAGTGACAAGGACAAATTAACTGTTTTGTCTTCTAGGTATGAGGTCTTTATGGAACCTTTACCAGTAGAAATGTCGCCACAGCAACATTGATAAGGCAGCTATTAACTGAACTCCTGTGTCTGTGAACTTACATCCCTTGAAACCTTAAAAGGTCTCAAACAGCAGAGCCATGTGTTCAGGGCATGGTTCAGGGCAAAACGTGTTCTCAAATTCTGATTCAGTCTTTATTTTGGCTCAAAGCAGGGAGGGAGTGATGAGTGAGAATTATGTTAAAGGGGTGTAAACATTTAAAAGCCAAGTCCAAGGTAGTTCACCCTTCTACTAATCCAGTGGTTCTCAAACTTTTTCTGTCAGGCCCCCCCTTTGGAGAAAAAAAAAAGTCGGGCCCCCCCCCAACACAAAGTCAGGCTCAGTGGCGGCACCAGAGATTTATTTTGGGGGTGCTGTGGGGTAGCTTGACGTTTCATAGAGGGTGCTCAAACATTTAGGGTTTCCCATTAATGTACCGGGCGCTACAGTGGTATTTTCTACTGCAACAATCCTCACGCAAATACACAACGTATACCCGCAACTGTTACAATGAAGGCTCGATAATCATCTCACGGCATATAGGTGTAAGCAGGGGTAAAGTGCTATTTTTATAGGTGGTGTGTGGACCTCACATAGATTTTTAAATATTGAAGTTAAAAGCATCAATCTGGTGCACTTTGAGAGCACAATGAAGAGATCTATGGATACTCTCCCATTTGAAACAGAACTGTAAACAGATTTACTATTTCTTTATGGATATTTTACAAATCACCCTTTTAAACTTTATTATTTTTTTACTGTCATATAGTATTTCATACCTGCTTTTAATTTATTCTCTTATTTTTTTATAACTATAATGATCATATAAACGTGTGCCTCGAAAATAATTGTTTACATTAATGGTGACTAAAACGTTTGAGACCCACTGAGATAACACTGAGAGAGTCCTTTAGTTCACTGAGTCTCTCAGTCTGACAAGAGAGGACTCTCCTCCACTTTGTTGTTGAAACAACTCCTTATATCCGTTGGCGTAGCTCGCTAGCACCAGAAGCTAACAACAACGATCTCCGGTACCGGTGTGCTCTCTCTCTCGCTCGCGAACACAAAATGGCTCGTTCCACACACACACACAGAGCCGAGCTTTAATGAAACACAGAGACCCAGACGTAATAGTACTGTATCATATTATTTTCGAATCAATAATTTTTAAAAATATGAATCTTTTTTTTAATCTTTTTTTTAATTTATTTTTTTAATAACCATTTTTCCTCCTGGTCTCTCGCGCCCCCCCCTGTCATGCCTCTGCGCCCCCCACTTTGAGAACCACTGTACTAATCCATTCAACAGCTTGCAGGACCTTTTATAGGGCAATTATGTATGAAGTCAAAGCAATCCCACTGCTTTGAAGAACGTGTAGGTTTTCTAGATATCCCCAGCAGCATCCATTTGATATCCCCTCAACTTTTGTTCGCCCTTAAATCTTTATTATTCTTACTCTCCAAACAGTGCATTATCCACTCCTCTTTGAAGTTGCCTTGCTGTTTGGTGGTTTAGATCGAATCTTTATGAAATACACACAGAAGTGTTCTTCTCTCACCACTAAAGACTCAGTCCAGAGAAAAAGACTGAGGAGGTTTTTGATATGCTGTCATACCTCAAGACAGCCAGTATACCTAAATACTGAAATATAAAAAAGCATACAGTGAAGATAAGGATGAATGTTACACCAGCTATAAAACTAACCGTGTGAGCATGGCTTTAAACACAAACACTCCAACATAAATCTCCTCATATTTCAGCTAGTTTGTCTGTTTCATGAAATGCCAACTCCTTTCTTCAGCCATTGTTTATCAATATTTTATGGCTCATTTTTGTGCTCTCTGGGCTTCTCTTATGCCGAAATAACCTCAATCAATTGTGTTTGTCGGCCTGACACGGCAGCAAATCCTCCCCCGGGCAACACAAAACCACCTGACAGCTCGCATTACAGCGAAGATTGTGCCAGCCACTCCTCGGACATGGAGTTTGAGGGAATAAGGAGTTGATTATCACTTGTGAAAACGCTTTTCTTTCGGCCTTCTTATCAGTGTGGAGGATGACCTTCCGAGCTGTATGGCGCGAGGGGGGAGCCATCAGAATAAATGATAGGCTGTTGCTGCCCTTGTCAAAGAAGTCCTGCTGGTGGTTGTGACAGAGGTGTGTGATTCTCTCTTGATCTATCTCACACACTCGCACTGCTTCTTATGGAAATCACTGAAGGCTACAATTATAACTGTAAGCAGGGTAGGCACGTACTAGATGTAAATCAGACAGAATCAACAAATTATAGATATAGATTAACTCGTAAAATGAATGAATATATTACTCAGAAAAAAAGACAGTTAAATCTATCATATGATTTATCAACGTTTGACAAAGGTGGGGGGGGGGAATAAGTGATTACCCCGCCTA